CAAGGGCGCCGGCTCTCCGCTGAAGGACATTGAGATCGTCACTGATTCAACTGGTGCGCCTGTTGTCCAAGTAAGTACCACTTCCAACCTGTCATCTTCGCGTCTGACGCTAACATGTTGCTAGCTTCATGGTGTTGCTGCTGAAGTCGCCGAGCAGGCTGGTGTCAAGCAAGTCAGTGTTAGCATCAGCCACAGTGATACGCAGGCTGTCGCGGTTGCTGTGTCGAAATTCTGATCTTTCGGCGAGCGAACAAGCTGCTTTGATGTAATCGGAGTGTCTGAATCATGTCTACGTTTCTTGACCACATATTCATATAGTTAGATCAATCCAAGCCTGGCTTTCATCTGGCGAACCAGCCGGATCTTCCTTTGAAGTGTTTTGCCTTCTTCAGCTTTAGGAGTATATCTTGAGCAACGGTAGTATGTCGGCATAGCTGAAGTAATCCGGCCACGTGAGGCAACGCGGTTACCAGGCTGCTTCCCATGTTGATAATTCAGTCAGTTCCACCAACCACCAAGAGAATTGAGAACACGTTCCTTACACCTTACCTCTGAGACCTCAAATCGCCCGATATAGTACACATAGAATTTCCCGCTCTTGATACTCGCAATTGAATACTCAATCCTGTTCGACATGCTTAACTCAAATTTGTATTTGTCAATATTACTCAGGTGTCACTTCGAAGTACTGATACATGTAATGGTATAGAATCTGACATCTTCTAATTAGAACCTACAGTATTTGACAATGCGAAGACAGTCAATGAAGGATTTATCAATAGCCCCTCTCCTATGAAAGATAGGCCTAACTCATGCTGCAGATGTTGTTCAGAGTGAAGAAGTTCACTATCATATAATAACGTATTGCCTAATGACCATGCGAAAAGAGGGGGCCAGAACCAACGGGGTTACCTACCCTCTACCAGATGCTCTACTCAAGGGACCCCAGTTTTCCCGAGGGTTAAGCTGATATCGAACAAGACGCTTTCTCGCTGAAAGCTCCTTCCCTAAACTCTCATCAAAAACCACTTCCAAAGTGCTAGGATGAATTCTAGCTGCGGCTTTGACTCGGAGCCCTTGTCCAGAAATAGACGTTCTGGAATCGTGATGGCCATTGTTCTGTGTATCGCGTACCGATGTAGTTCCTGACGCTCGATGGGCACCGGCCCGTGTCAAAGCAGCTTCAAGCCTGCTAACTACATCCGTAATATTGTGCTCTTGCTCCATTACCAACTGAAGCTCCTTCTTCAACGAATTTAGCAGTTGCTGATCGCTGTCGCCATCTGTGGGAACCTTTCGGCATTTCGACATGATCACAGCCCCAGGACTTCCGGGTCTGAGAGCGCCCTCCCTGATCGGGGACTTCTGTCTGACCCATTCCCGCATAATCTCCCAAATCACATCCCAGGGTGCGTCAGTCCGAATTGTGTTTGGTTTCGCATGGGTGCGAGTCGCTCGGTAGCCCAAATGTCGAAGAGCCCCGCGCATCGCATCGATGGAAATGGTAGCAGTACGAAGAACCTTCGATATCGCACTCAAGCTAAAGTAGAATGGGGTTTTGTCACTCAAGGCGGGGTCAACCCGTGGAATAATGGCAGCAGTTTCGGCCCCTGGCGCCGGTGCATTGGTAGGCTTCTGTGATGTGTTGGCGTCGCCAATGTCGAAGTTCAAATCTTCCTCGAGTGCCGTTGTTAACATGCCCTCAATTCTATCAACAGTTTGATAAACATCTCGGTCTAGCTTAGGAAGCATAGCAAGGATATTCTGGATGAAATGTGGGTTGTGAAGTGGACCGGCCCACATTGGGCCCCCTACATGCATCTTCGAACCGCAATGTTCGCAACGGGAGTTTGAAGTTGGACCCTGCGCAAAGCCAAAATGAGGAAAAGGCTTTCCTTTTTTGTCAAGCTTCTGCTTGGTCTGCGTCAGAGGCTGGGTTGACCATGCCCCGCAGCCCTCGTCGCAATTGAAGACCGTCATCATATTTCCAGAAACAAACTTAACCTGGGCAGGGGAGCGATGAACCCGGACAAAGACTCGCGCATAGAAATCGATTGATAGAGATAATAGGGGCTCAATTGCAAGTCCATATCTGGCGGCAGACATGGCAAGCGAATGTAGGATCAAGCGCAGTCCCCCTTCGTGGCAATGCGGTCCTTTGACCGGGACGCCACCATACAAGGCGAAAGCCTTCTCAGGATACCCATGCGAAGCCCACACTCCTGCATCAGTACAAGTCACACAAAGAAGGCCTCCATCCTTTACTGCCTGGACCGCAGCGTCCATGAAAGGTGAAGCAGTGCCGTATGGATCCAAATCAATGACATCGAATTTGCCGGAGTGGGGCACCACGTCCTGACTCTTATCTTGCTCCAAAAGGCTGTACATGAAGACGCGTGCATCTCCTAGGTTGGGGTGGATACGGTCTTCGAGTTTGTTGTATTCGATATTTGTCTTCATTGATCGAATAGCAGATTCTGAAAGGTCGTTTGCAACAACGTAGGAAGCAAATGGGATCTCCAAGGCATAACGTAGCGCACGCAAGCCTGTAGCAGAAAGAGCATCTAGGATTGTGAATGACGGCGCAATGATCTCTTCCGAAGGCAAGTCGGGAACTGCTGCAGCGGCGGGCTCAGTTATCTGTTCGCTTTGGTCCTTTGGCTGGTTGGCTTCGTCCTCTCGCTTGCGCTTTTTACTCTTTGTCCCACCACTTTCTGCTAGCCTCTGTCTTCGCTTTTCCGCCTTCTGTTTCTTCACAGCTAAGACATGCTCCCCAAAGGCCCGGATTGCAAGAACGCTAAGGTCTCGGTTAAATTGCTGAATAGGGTTGTAGAAAACGGATTGAGATTCATCGTCAGCCTTGAGATCCTTCCTCGTGGCCTTGGAGGCAGCGTCTTGAGAGGGAGGGTTCAAAATATACGCTTTTCCTTCTTTTACAGCTGTGAAGTCCGTGCCAGCGTACTGGATTAATTGCTCCGAGGTGTCCATGGCGCGAACTTCGGTATGGAATTGGGGCGGATGATTTCGCCGAACGGGGGCTGGCGTATTCACCGTTGGGCGCAGAAGCGAGATTGACAGAACAGTAGGTACTGAAGATTGAGAAAAACAATCGACGGGTCTAAAACGAGCAAGGACAAAATGAAAAAGGCTCATTGACTGACCTGAACGTCACAGAGAACAAGTGAAGTAGGGAGAGAATGGATATTCTGGGAGAAGTAGATTTTTCTTTTCTCCCCGCGGGGCGAGTTTGAATGGTACGAGCTCCCGGCGCCGCGCGCAAAAATAGAAAAAGGCCCGGGGGGGGGGGCCACTCTTACACCTCAGGATACCCAGCAACCTGAGCCCGATCAAAGAGAGTCTATGTAAGACAACGTTCATGTCAGGCACTTGGAACATGGGGATCTATTGTACCATCGTTGTCATTATCATTGCCATCATCATCATCATTATTATTATTACTACGCCTTTCCAGGTCGCATTGTGTCCAAAGGCATTCAATCTCATACACAGAATCCATGAACAAGCAGGTACTCCTCATATCCAGGATCCGATGATGGGAACTTGATTGTAGATATCGTTCCATCCACTGGCTTCCCACCCAGAGCCCTGACCGGCACGGCCAATGACTCCTAGAGCGCCAGCCAGCCAGATCGATGCTCCCACTGCAGCAATCGTATTTACAGTCCACCACATTCTCTTCTGTCTGCGGCATCGTTGCTCACTTCGAGTATAGCCAAGGTAACCCTCGAGAGACCCCTTTTTTGAATTGCGCTGCTTCCGGAGGGTTGTGACCTTCCAGCCCATCCAGGAAGCCCACCCACCAACAAAATGCCATACCCCAACAGCGACAAAAACAAGATAATATATGTTCCAGAAAATCGGAGACCGCGCAATGCCGTGAGCCACATAGCCCAGCCCCACTCCCGAGCTTCCTCCGTCGACCAGGATCGGACTAATACGATTGACGAGGACGTGCACACCAAGTAACGGAATGAGTGAATACCCCAAGCGTGCCTGCAGGCTCATCCGTGGCCAGAACGTGAGCGCATACCGCTGGGACCGGGTTTCTGCGCCATAGAGTCGGGCCCGCCGTGAGGAGCGGATATTGCGCAGAGCGATGCCAGAAAGGACATGAACCAAAACCGGCACAGTCAGAACAACATGTTCGAGTGACGGGGATTGATAGAGGGGCCTGGTGAGCAACAGATAATTTTCGCTTGCGCTTACGGAGCGGGTCGCGAGAGGAAGTATTGAGGTATTAGCAACGTGCAGAGCAAGAAATAAGCTAGGCGGATACGTCGAGTATCGTTGAAATGCAGATACTGAGGTTCAGAAAGCAAGGCATTAGTCCACGCAGGGTCAATCGCGACGGAAGGCTAAGATGAAAAGGCAACAGAGGAGTCGTACGCCATGAATCCCAGCTATGCCCGCGGAGACCTAGGCCGAGAGACGACGGTGCGCTTATGTTCCGGCCCAATGAATCTTGAGACGCTTCTTGCAACTCCGGGGAATATTCGCCGCGCTCAAGGCCTGGGAACTCATCCTCCACCGGAGAAGGGTCGATTTCTCGCATGGAAATGAGTGACCGGGTGTCGATGTCCTCCGGCTTGTGCGAGAGGCCGTCTGGGGCAGACGCCATGGCGACAAGAGCACCGGGATTAGTTAGATATGTGTGGCAATGCAAAAAAGGGAGATATCAATTGATTCAACACATTATTCCGTGGGACTAAGGTAAACGTGGGCGATTTCCATTTTCAGTGACCAATTTCGAGAAGGAGAGGGAAAACAGACGTCACGTTGGGATGAAAGCTGGAATAGTTGTACAGTACTTGTACTGTACAGTACAGTACTCACTACATGCATAATTTGTAGCACGATGATTGGCTTTAAACTACGCGTACCGAACCGAACCGACCGGTGACGGGTATCTTTTTCCGGCAACAGCACGAAACAGAATGTGAAGGTATCGTCTGACGTCGGTCCGTATTTCCTACTGATACATGTTTGGGTTGATTACGATGATGGTAATGCGAACTCATGCATACATCCATCAGAGAGCGAGTTCCGACATCCTTCCATACTAGCGCTACCCTTCCAACAGTGCTCACAGATTTTGAGATAGACTTGGCAGATTTCCCACTTGGTTGCAGTCGCCAGTGATCCAGAGTACAGTGCTCTTACGCTATCATCATCTTGTTCCAAGATGGCGCCTGCAAGTGCCCGCGACACCCTCTCTCCTTCCTAACGGGTCTTGATCCGGGGAGCGATCCTTGAGCAATCGAAGACAGGGCTTTTTTTCTGACAGAAACTTCCTTCGATAGCGCGGCTTCACCAATCCTACCCCCAAGGTATGATCCCCCCCGGCTATTAATGCCTTGCTTACCACGTCGCCTTCTGTTGACAAGCGTCTCCGACTTGCTTCTTACCAGACTGATTCGGCGCGCTCAGCCTTGAACTCGTTTACCTGCACACTGTGCAACAAATCCTACTCCCGCCACCCCGAATATGAAGCCCATATATCATCATATGATCATCAGCACCGCAAGCGCCTGCAGGATCTCAAACAGCTTTCCCGGGATCCAAACGCTGCGGAGAAAGCAAGACGAGCAGAGCGGAAAGCTGATGCGGAAGCCGGCTTAAGGGTACTAGACACCCACAAAAAGAGTCCCTCGACAACCGGAATAGGTGGTGGAAACGGCCTCAACTCTGACGGCGGGGGAGGCTTCAAGAAAGGAGGTTTCAAAAGCTCCTTTACGGCAGTAAAAGGACCCGTCGGCCCAGGTGCGCCTACCAAGAAGAACGTTCTAGGAGGGGATGACGATGATCATGAAGACTCCACTAAGCCGGAATCCGCATACTCGAGCAGTCACACTCGGAAAACGACAGCGAAACGTCCCAGTCCCCAAGATAGACAAGAGGAAAGCGATAGTGAATGCGAAGCCGGTGATGAGATTTATTATAATCCTTATCACCCTACAGGTTGCTACCACGGATGTGCTGGGAGTAGGACGGACAATCGAGCTGGAATAGAAATTGTTTGAATAGATGCAACGCTTCAAACTTTACAAGGCATATGACTGTATATGGTTTAGGTGGTGTTCGGTTACCCATAGTATGTCCCCTGTCCCTCCACTCGTGGTTGCGGTTTAACATAGCATGTTCTGCAGGCGGCCTTTTCGTTCCACCATACTGGTAGAGCTAATTCCTAACTGTGAATATCAACGTGTATAAGGCATGGCATCCTCATTTACACGGTACATTTTGGTGACTGGACAACTACAAAAAGAATTCTTGAAGCATCAGCGCATGAAGAGATCTATAGGAACTAGGTCATCATGAGTTGTTGTCTAACAATGCAAATTGGAATTGGTTCTGTTGTGTAGTCGTACAAAATTCAGATCAGATGGGAAGGCAGGGCGAGATGGAATATTGGGAGTGATTGGCAACAATCACAGGGTGCTAGGCACACGAGGCTTTATTATCTGTGGTTGTTCTTCAACAGCGCTTGTTCTTCATGAAGACCGGACTATCTTACAAGCGCAGCAGCTTGGCGGCCTGGTTAACGATGGTGTCTTCCTGAGGGAAGCTCATCTGCTCCAAGCCAACGGCGTAGGGAGTAGGGACCTCAGCACCAGTGACACGGACAGCGGGTGCAGTCAAGTAATCGAAGCCATACTCCATGGAGAGAGCAAGGATCTCAGAGGCGACACCAAACATGGGGAAACCGGACTCAACACACATGATACGGCCGGTCTTCTTGAGGGACTGAATGATAGTCTCCACATCAAGAGGCTTAACAGAACGAAGGTTGATGACTTCAGCCTCCACACCGTACTTCTGCTTGAGTTGGGCAGCGGCGTTGAGCGACTGGCCGACACAGCGGGAGAGAGAAACAATTGTGAGGTCCTTGCCAGGGCGTTCGATTTTAGCCTTGCCAATGGGAAGAACAAAGTCATTCTTCTGGGCGGCCTCACTCATGGGGAAGGCCTGACCGTACAGAAGCCTGTCGACCTCTGTCAGCACTGACAAAAGTTGGTGTGATGGTTGTTCATGGATTACCTACTCATTTTCCAAAACAACAACGGGGTTGGGGTCACGAATGGCAGCCTTCAGCAAACCCTTGGCATCTTCGGCGCTCCAGGGAGCAACAACCTTCAAACCAGGGATGCTACCGTACCATGCAGAATAATCCTGAGAGTGCTGAGCAGCAACACCGGCAGCAAATCCATTAGGCCCGCGGAAAGTGATGTTGCAAGGTTGAATTCCTCCGGACATGTAGTGCGTCTTGGCAGCGGAGTTGATGATCTGATCGATGGATTGCATGGCAAAATTGAAGGTCATGAACTCGCACTAGAAAGAAGAAAGAGGCAAGTTAGTGAGGCACGCGCTTCAGGCGTTTGCTCGCCTTTAGCTTCCATTGATCGAGACTCACAATGGGGTGCAGGCCGGCAAGAGCAGCGCCGACAGCGAGACCAGTGAAGCCAGCCTCCGTAATGGGGGTGTCGATGACTCTCTTCGGACCGAAGCGGTCCAACAGACCTCTCGTCACCTTGTATCTGTAAGATTTGAGCCAGGTCAGACTGGGGAGCTTCGAGCAAATTTGATGAAAAAGGGGTTTACAGACGCTCCGTTGTACTGCGCGACTTCCTCGCCCATGATGAAAGTTTTCTCATTGCCCTCAAGCTCCTCCGCGAGCGCCTCGTTCAGGGCATCACGGACTGTGACCTCCTTGGTACCAGTCTCGGTGGCGTAACCCCGGAAGCGCAGGACGGAAGGTGTGCAGGTAGTTTGCGAGAAAGCCGGGCGAAGAGGAGTTGAGGGAAGGCGCGAGGAAAGCAGACGAGCTGCTGGGCGGAAAAGTCGGGGAGCAGCCATGGCCGAACTGGAGAGTTGGACGAGGAGATTAGAATAAGTGATCAATGGTCTAGGTCAAGCGAGAGAAGGGATACAGACTAGAAGAAGCAATCGGACAGCACCTTGAAGAGCCTCGTAACTTGTCCAACACGGGAATCTTTCGTTCAATGAGAGATGTGGTTTTTGGTGAGAGCTTCGAGAAAGACTGTTGGGCCCGGGCTGGCTGACTAAGTTAATATTCTCACCGGCGCCTTCTTCCGTTCCGTGGAACTTCCGCGTGACTGCCGATAAGGGAACCATCGGCGATAAGGCTTTCCCGGAGTATTGACTCTTCGGAGTTGTTTGTACATTGGCGGAGTTAAGTATAGTACAATAGCTAATTACTACTACACCGACATTACGACGGAGTTCAACAGAGTATTCGTTTTTTTCGGTCTCATCACTCACGTACTACTTTCGTTATCCTCACCTCGTTCGAGTCAAATCATCATGACCCATACTTCTTTTGCAGCAGCAGCTCTAGTGCTCTTGCTGTCGTCCTCTCCCTTTACCTCGATCGTCTGCGCACTACAGCCCTCTGCTCCGGACCCTGTCGCTGCGCCATTGCGCGACCTGGAATTGGGGCAACTCAACTTTCTACATACTACAGACACCCACGGCTGGTTGGCTGGACACTTACAAGAGTATGAAACTCGGATGTCCTTTTCAAAGCTTTACCAAATGGGTTCTTGCTGATTGAGTGCCCGTGTGCTAGACCCTCTTATGCGGCGGACTGGGGGGACTACATCTCTTTTGCCGCCCGTATGCGCGACAAAGCCGAATCGGATGGCTCAGATCTGTTGGTCATCGATACAGGTGATCGAGTTGAAGGTAATGGTCTGTATGATTCTTCGGAGCCCAAGGGCGTCTACCTCTCCGAGATCCTGCGAGAACAACACATAGACCTTCTGTCATCGGGAAACCATGAGCTGTACAATCGGACGACGTCCCAAGCAGAGTTCTTCACCACGATTCCCAACTTTCGTGGAAATTACCTAGCATCGAATATCGATATTCTACACCCAGCAATTAACGAATTCGTTCCTTTGGCGCCTCGCTTTAAGAAATTTACCACGCAAAACCAAGGGATTCGCATCATTGCCTTCGGCTTTCTGTTCAATTTTAAGAAGAATGACAACAACACTATTGTTAGGTCTGTAGAGCAGACTATCAAAGAAGACTGGTTCCAAGAAGCCATTAGAGATAAAGATGTGGACCTCTTTCTCGTCCTTGGTCATGTCCCTGTGCGCTCCGTTGAATATGATGCTGTGTACCGGGAGATCCGCGCTATCCGGTGGGATACACCTATCCAGTTCTTTGGGGGGCATTACCACATTCGGGATTATGTGCGGTACGACTCCAAAGCCTACGGTCTTGCGAGTGGCCGTTTCATGGAAACTATTGGCTTCATGTCAATCGATGGGCTGTCTACCAGCAAACATCACATAAAGCCCGCCCTGGCAGCGCCTAAGTTTAGTCGGAAGTATATCGATAACAATTTGTTCTCATTCTACCACCACACCGGCCTGGATGAGGGCACATTCCACACGGAGCATGGCCGGAATGTATCCTTACTTATACAACAATCCAGAAGCGCTCTCAAGTTGGACAAAGTTCACGGTTGTGCTCCGAGGGATCTCTGGATGTCACGCGTCAAGTACCCTCACGAGAACAATATATACACATGGCTAGAGGAAGAAGTGCTCTCCGTCTCTCTAAAAGATGAGTCACGTACTGGCAAGCCAGCGCTTGCTATTGTTAATACGGGGGCTATTCGCTTCGATATTTTCAGAGGCCCTTTCACCCAGGATACAACATATATTGTCTCCCCCTTTTCCAGTGGTTTCCGTTACGTCAAAGATGTTCCTTACCACAAAGCGAAGTTCGTGGTCGAGGTACTCAACAAACAGCCTCAAATAATGACCGAGCAGCGTCAACATGTAGGTCTAGCGACCTGGCCACTCGCACCGCCTGAGCAATCAGCACATGCAGACGCTAACCGTGGCGAGAGTTTGCGCCCTGGATGGTACGCTCCAGACTCGCTTACCGACCAGGCTTTACTTTCAATGAAGGACTATGCCGGGCCTAACCTAATTCCAGGGTATACTACCACCGATGATGCTGGGACTGATGGTGATGATACCGTCCATTCTCCTCTCACATTCTATCGAGTACCAAACTGCATTCAATCCCTGGTATCTCCGACCGCATCTGACCAGCCTGAAACGGTGGATTTGGTTTACATCGATTTTATTGAGCCCTATGTAGCTCTAGCGGCCAAGTTTGCAAGCCTTGATGTGGATTTTACGCGAGACAGTGACGTCTACATGCCATCCACTAGTCTAACAAGCCTGATTCTGAACTGGGTCAAGACGAACTGGGGCTGCGAAGACGGGTCTTTGTGATCCGAACTGAATTTCGTGACCGGACACATTGACCGATGCAGAATATGATGCTTGACGGCCTCCGTTTCCTTGGGTGTTGGAGCTACGAAATTGACAGACGGCATGCGCCATCGTAGATCGCCAGATCTCATAGCTTCCTTGTTTTCCTGTACTGAGAAGCAAGAAATCAATTGTTCAGTATCACTTGTAGCTTGCTGGAGGGGCTTCTTCTCAGGAGACCTCCATATGAACATGATAATGAAAGTTACCCCTTTGGGGGAGTGGATCGACAATTTTATTATACATGTAAGCAAGATTGACTAGCTTTGCACGATTGTCACGGCCGAATTTCAAGCTTGCGCTTCGGTGCTGTCATAAGTAAATTCACACTTCTATGCGGGATTCATTCCTCTGCCTCGTACCGGAGCAAGCCCTTTCCACTCCGGAAGCCACTGAGTGTTTCCTGCACGCCCCCTACAAGCTCCGCACACTCTGTGTCCCAACGCCATTTAAGCTCCTCCACGGGAATATCCTTGAACTTGCCTGTCCGGGTCAACTGCAACACATCATTGATTGTGTTTTCCTTGAGCTGTGGGTTCTTGTCGCCCCATTTGCTGACCCAGAATCCATGAAAAACAAGATCCTTGAATATGAGCAGACCGGATGGCAGGGCAACCGGCTGCTTCGACATGGCTCCATATGTGACTAGACGCGAGCCCGGTGCAAGCGTTTTGGCTAGCGCAGTCGCGCTTTTCCCGCCAACGCAGTTCAGGGCCAACCGGATTGGCTCCCTCCCCTTGCGTGTAAGATCATGCACAAGATTCTTGAATTCGCCGGAGAGCAGCTCGGCTTCTGTCACCACGGCCGTCGCGCCCAGGTCACGCAGTTCCTGCTTCAATTTTTCGGTCTCCTCGGGCGTCTTCCGTTCCCGCACAACATTTAGTGTTTTGATGCCCCATTCTCGCGCCAGTTGGATGGTAGCTCGTCCAACACCGCTATTTGCTCCATTTTGAATCAACCATTCTTCCCCAGCGCGCATCCAGTCCCAGTCACAAAAATCCTTGATCATCCGGTACGCGGTCACAGGATTCACGCTGACGGTACTGATCTGAAGCGGGGTCAGGCCTTCCTTATTTTCGATCCTGATCAGTTGAGACTCGTCCATCTGAGCGTGAGTGCGCCAGGTCCCCTGTCCAGTCTGCTTCATAACCACCCAATCTCCCTTGCTGAGGTTGGTGACATGTGAGCCCGTAGCGATGACCTCAAACGCGCCTTCATTACCGGCTACAGCGCACGGTGCTTGTGTACCAAGCGATGTCTGGAAGGGTGGCTTACTCGGATAGACGCCTTGGATCTGGTTCACATCAGCTGGATTTAGCGGAGCAGCAAGTAGACGAAGGTTGACTTGGGTTCCATGGGGCGCCGATATAGAATGCTTGTGAAGCCTTAAGCTAAGTCTCAGCCACAGTCCTGCATTTGCGTGCTTCGAAGAGCCAGGAAAGGCCCTGGGGCACGGGGCATAGACAAGACTTACTGCAGAACATCCTTAGGTTCCCCGTAACGAGAATAAACGAGGGCCTTAGCCTGGGTGTACCCGTAGACCGAGATCCATCTTTTGCTCTCCACTGAGTGACGGCAATTGAATTCTTGCCATTGATTTTGCGTCGGCGCAGTGAGCGACGCAGAGACTCTGACTCTGGAACTCAGTCCTCCGACGCGGCTGCGGGAAGCACCGAACGCTGACCGTACCAAGCTGTTGTAGAGCATATTGACAGGGTCGAACAATATTCTCCGACGAACAGAGTCAATCCTCACGTTGTGATATATCGTAGATGATTCTGAAGCACTTCGCCGGTCTCCTGGGGGAGAAAGAAAAGTCAGGGGAAGGGAGAGCGAAAGAAAGAGATAGCATGTGCATGACGTCGTTTTCTCTTCGGGCTGACGGAGCTGGAGAGACGGCGTTGCGGGTATGACTTTTCCAGCTGCAGTCTCCGTACGGAGTACGTACTGTCACGGGTGTACTTAAATCAACTGACCTATGTACAGTACGGAGTAATCGCAAGCTTTATTGTAGCTTGAGTCATCTGAAGCTGTCAACCCGTGCACATATCGCTCAGGTCTCTTGCGGTTTTAGATTTTACATTTTGAACTAAAGCAACTGGAAACACATACACAAGCAGTACGGAGAGAGACTTCTCGGTCTTCAGGTACCAGAGAGAGCTGTCGACTACAGGTAAGGTATTTACCGATACAGAATTCGGCATTAATGCTCACCGCTCGGCGCATGCAAAGGATGTAGAGGGTTCACTCGGAAATATTGCCCTCTCTATGTTGGTCTCCGCCTCTTCTCCGCATTCTCTCGTTTCACAACGCAGCCTAACTCACTGTATCATACTAAATCCTAAATGTCCTCCCTCTTGCGCGAAGCAGAGAGATGCATCGCCAACCAGAATTCATACACCGCTCTAAATGCCTTAATCAGTACATTGCACTCCTCAGGCCAATGGCTGGATCGAATCAGAGAGGCAGATACGCGGCGCGCACAAGGTACCACCAATATTTGACAACTTCACGCTACTGTCTTGATCTTCTTCTTTTCCTCATACTTGCGCAGGTCGACCTGAGTCACGGCTAGATGGACGGCTAGTGGTTATCAAGGATAACATATGTACACGCGAACTTCCAACCACATGTGCTTCGAGAGCTCTAGATAAGTTTACCAGTCCTTTCAATGCGACTATCGTCCAACAATTGGAGGATGCTGGGGCCATTGTGGCCGGGAAGGCGAACCTTGATGAATTTGGGATGGGCTCGCACTCGGTGAATTCCTATTTCGGTCCCGTCAAAAATATGTACCGCAGTCGCAATGCAGAAGATCTATCAGCCGGCGGAAGCTCGGGGGGCAGTGCGGTGGCTGTTGCTACAGAACAATGTTATACGTACGTGTGGTCTCTATCGAAGCACCCATCGGGTCATGGAGGACGACATCTAACAATATACACACATACAGAGCACTGGGAACTGACACGGGGGGCTCTGTTCGGCTCCCTGCCGCCTACACGGGGATAGTGGGTTTCAAGCCTTCTTACGGACTGATTTCCCGCTGGGGGGTAGTCGCTTATGCGAACTCATTGGATACAGTGGGTATTTTCGGGAGAGAGGTGTCTAGTGTACGTGATGTATTTGGTATGCATTCTCGTATTCACAATGTATCACCTCAAAGAAGTTGCTAATTTCCGCAGACATACTGAACCAGCACGACCCGCGCGACCCAACTAATCTATCTCCTGGTACTCGATCGCGGATCGATGACCACTTCACCTCACCTCGCCTTGCATCTCGGACGACGACGAATTCCCTCAAGATTGGCGTTCCGGTAGAATACAACATTTCTGAGCTGGCACCTTCCGTACGACGTGCCTGGTCTCGCTCACTGAATCATATGCTACAGCAGGGACATACTATCCACCCTGTGTCTCTTCCAACGACCCAGATTGCCTTGTCAGCCTATTATGTCCTTGCGCCCGCTGAAGCATCTTCTAACCTAGCTAAATATGACGGCGTTCGTTATGGAACGAGTCTCAATGGTGACCACTACCATCCTCAGATGAACAGCTATCTATATGCACGAACGCGAGGCGAGGGATTAGGGTCCGAAGTCAAGCGAAGAATCTTACTTGGGGCTTTTAGTCTAAGCGCCGGCGCTATAGACAACTACTTCATACAGGCGCAGCGCATTCGTCGTCTCGTACAGCGAGATTTCAATGCGATTTTCCTGGCCAAACATCCACTAATGCCTCGTCCACTTGATGGGGATGAAGTGAATTATAAGGGCAGCCAAGCCCAAGTTGATGTTTTGATATGTCCGACGGCACCCTCTTCGCCGCCAGCTCTGTCGAACCTTGTTGGCGAAGGCGCCAATTGCTCCCCCTTGGATGCTTATATGAATGATGTCTTGACAGTGCCTGCCAGCTTGGCAGGTCTTCCAGCTGCCTCAGTCCCGGTCACGGACGAAAGCACTGAGAGCTTGGTCGGCGTCCAAATAATAGGCCAGTACGGTGATGACGCCCTAGTCTTGGAAGTGGCCGGAATGCTCTCCAACAAGCGCCTTTAGAAATAGGAAAATCTTGAAATAGGAAAATCTTGTAATAGACTTAAGATTCGATCGAAGAAACTTATACACTACATCAATTCGATTCCCATCTGAAGATAAAAACCACCACTCCAGCTTTGTGAGCGCTGACGCAGCCTTGAGGTAGGTACTGTTGACTATTAAGCATACGTGTGTATATCCTTGCCATTGCCGCAAGAAATTCGACATAGGACCTTCGAATTCGGTGACTAGGTTCATGTCTTTGAATACAAATATCATACAAAAGGGTATCATGCGATGCGAATCGAATTTCGTCGTTCATGACATTTCCACGTCTTCATCGCCCGCCGCGGTGTCTAGTGCCGCAGACAATTGTGTCCCCAGATCAAGTGTACCCGCAGTATCAAGACTCATCACATTTTCAGAAGTGGTGCGACCTGGGCCATGGTCCCCTAGAGTGGCGGGCTCGTGGCTAGTGACGTTGGCTAGAGTTGCATCATGAACTCTAGAATCGGATGGTATAGTAGACTCGTAGGCAATCTCCACGCCCCCCCTCATCACCTCCGAGCCCCCGACAACTGCTCCAGGACCAGACCCATCGACTTCAGCATTGCCAACAACATTACCATCCACACCGCCCCAAACGCACATGGCTTCCACTTCATCAACGATATCGGCGATGACATCTTCAACTATCTGCTCGTTAAATCGCTCTCCTATTCCGTACACTGGCTCGTTGCTCTCGGTATGGGCTGGCGGACCAAACCACCATGGGCCATCGAAGCGGCATTCAACAGCACCTCCACCGTAACAACTAACAGCAGGGTAATAACCGATCATCCCATCATCGGCGTTCTCACGCTCTCCAATTCCCAGATTATTGGTGCCATTGGCCAATCTGCTCGCGGGAGGGAGAAAGGCATACAGTTCTTTGAAGGGAGTGCCCATCTTCACTCCATTTTTGAATACTGTGATACTGGAACCTGGAAGAGTACGTAAAGATGCATCTTCGCCATTGAGCGGGGAAGGCGGGCCGAATGTCGGCGTCTCTTTAAGGTTGAATGCATAATCCCGTAGTTGTTTCGTGGGGAAAACATTTGATTGTTGCCAGCAGAAATCGGACTTGTAATGGAACGGAATGCGGTCACGGATGATGTTGGTGACGGACGGTGGGTCTGAAGTCGTGATTGAAGCATCACCATGGGCATTGGGCTCATATGTGCCTTCAACGATTTTCTTGTGAAGGGCCAGGGGGGGCAGCGTGATTAGAAGCCCAATGACATCCCCTTCTCGAATGGACTCGCCTTTTGGAAAGAAGTATTCGCAACGCATTCGGTTGACCACCTCGCCATTCACATCACGTATACCATAGCCGTAACAGTCTATTCCGACATTGACATCAAGATCAGCTTCCCTCCGTGCGAATCCGAGACGGACATGACCTCGTGCAGGAAAAGTGCTTCCAACTGAAGCTGGCGGTGAATCATTCACAACACCACTTACTATGCGCGCCTCATAATAGTAAGATCCTTCTCGCGCGCACACGTTGGCTCGTGCAGTATGCCAAGGCTCGTTGGTCGTTACAGCACGAGCATCTTCAGTGAAGAGAATCGCAGCGGGTGAGTCTTCAAAGCTAAACCGAGCATGGTAGGGTGAGACATCAGTTTGTCGATACTTGATGTGTGGAAAGGCTGGGTCGGCAATTGCGTAGCTATAACGGAAACCATTCTTATTCGTAAGCTTGTCGACAACCTCATAAAAATCCCAGCTCTGACCCGTAACCTCTGACTTCTTTGTGTTCACCAAATTCATCTGACGAGGTTGCGGGGGCAGTAAATCCGAAGCTCGAGGCTCAGCAAGCAACAGAGGTCGCAAGATGCTTAAGTCCGAACTCGGAAGCGCGGTGCTTTGAACAGTAATAGTCCTCTTCTTGGTGGGCTGTGATTCTTGATCCAGAGCTCTAGCCTCGCGCTTCTTGCGGCTATCCCGTTTTGTGCGCTTCGACCTTGTACTATCGGCTTGTACTGATGCATTACTAGGCGGCGCAGGAGAAGATCTGACATTTGTGTCTGCTAGGGACCCACCGAGCGGTGCGCCCCCAGAGGGCACTGTTGGAGATTCCACATTGGAGGGAGGCGCAGAAACCCCTGTCTGTTGCGTAGAAGCCATGGCGGCGAGGGCCTTATGATATGAGAATAGCCGGGGTTTGACGTCGCCACAACACACTATTTTTCTGAATTGAAGCACTCCTAGAACGCCTAGACCTTCAACTGGGGTCGCCTTAAATTCTCTAAGAAATCGTATTGACGTGACAGGTAGAAGGACTCAAGCTTCTAATGAATTAGAAGGCCTGTCTGTGTGCACTCGGAACTGCAAGCTCCTGAGGCGATTATGACTAGTTAGAAGCATAAACGGAATTTGGAAGAAAAGGAAAGCCCCAGGTGTGCTTGGCTGATAGTCAGCAGATAACTTGCAGTCCCCATCATCTGCAAATACAAAGGACTATGACAAAACATGAAGCTAGTACTAATTGATAAAACCCACCAGCAACTTACCTGAAAGCGAACGAGCATGTATTTTGAATTTGCCGAAAGTATTTAGGCTGCGCTGTATGATCACCAGCCATAGCAATATTTGATGAGCACCATATTCGAAGTTATTTGGTCTCCGAGAACCAACTTGCAAGGGCGGAAAGCATTCGAGCGAGATAACTATGGGGCGGTGAAGATATCTACTAGGTTGGTACGGTCAGGGTCACGGGTCACTACTGCCGGCATTTTCCTAATCCGAATGAGGTTTATAAGCACGGGCAACCTTGAACCAATCCCCATAATGGAGGGGTATGGGCGGTAGGTTTCGAATTGAGCCACTCATGATACGAGTTTAAAGGCGGTCAGACATGAGAATGGCAGAAAAAAAAATAGAACCGCATGATCTTGAAATTCACACACATTTGTCAAAGGATAATATAGAGGCGAATAGCATTCGTTTCATGCATCTTGCCCTGGCGGATTGATGGGCTAGAACTTTTAACCTGATTATTTCTTCTGAACTCAGACGAATCCTAAATATACAAGGTTGCTCTAAGGGGTGTCGAAAGTGACTCAACATGCCTAAAGCAGCAGCATCTCGCTCCGTCGCTGCCCGCCGGCACAATCCTCTCGCCGAGGATATGTTAACCCCAGCTGGTCACTTAAGAACCCAAGCAAGCAAAAAGGCTAATCGCAAATCCCGTCAAGATGAGGAGCAAGAAGATGGCGAAAGATTCGTTGATGCGAAAATGTCTAGCAAGATCCTGCGCATCGGGCAGGAATTGGCAGAGGAGGATGCCGCAGAGCAAAAACTCTCGATGGGCGCAACAACAGACAAGACGAATACTGCCTTCGACTTTGAGTCTCGTCTAGAAGACGAAGAATTCTTGTCGGATGACGAGAGGTTTCAAGATGAGCAATGGGACGATGTGGAGGAAGTCGAAGAAGTGGTATGCTACCTCGGTTCTTTCTATTTCCCTAGGATTTCGAAGGCTGTACATATATTGACTATACCCTCAGGAAGTTGATCCTAATGATCTTGACATGTTTCACAAGTTCGTTCCCGGGGGGGATGAGGATCCGATATTCAACCCTAGTGCACCGGGGGCCGAGGGCCAGACCACAAATCTGGCGGATTTGATCCTTGAAAAGATCGCAGAACATGAAGCCAGACAGGCTGGCGAAGGTGGGCCGTACATTCAAGGCGGAGGGTTGGCGGAAGATGCTGTTCAGATCCCCGCGAAGGCGGTTGAGGTTTACGAGAAGTGAGATTTCTATGCTCAAGCTGCTTTACATTGAACTTTTTGAATGCTAATGAGAAACCCAGAGTCGGTATGATTCTCTCTCGCTACAAGTCAGGCCCCCTTCCGAAACCTTTCAAAATTCTCCCCTCTGTTCCCAACTGGCCGACTCTTCTCTCGATTACACGCCCAGAATCCTGGTCTGCCAACGCTGTTTATGCCGGTACAAGAATCTTCATATCCTCTAAGCCTGCAGTTGCACAGGAGTTTATCTCGACGGTACTGCTCGATCGTGTCCGTGAGGAAATACATGAGACCAAGAAGCTCAATGTCCATACCTACAATGCAATGAAGAAAGCACTCTACAAGCCCGCTTGCTTCTTCAAGGGACTGCTGTTTCCCCTAGTTTCCAGCGGAACATGTACTCTTCGCGAAGCCCATATTGTCTCCTCCGTCATTGCTCGAGTCTCGATTCCGGTCCTGCATTCGGCTGCGGCTTTGCTTCGTATGTGCGACCTTGCCGCGGAACAATCCCTGCGATCTCTGGAGAGTACTGGTGCGGTCAATGTCTTCATTCGCATCTTTTTGGAGAAGAAGTACGCACTTCCATACAAGGTCATTGATGCGCTTGTCTTTCACTTCCTGCGTTTCCGCGCGAACGACAGTGCAGACGAGTCAATGATGATAGATGGGCCATCCCGTGACGCTAAGGCTTACAAGCTTCCTGTCTTGTGGCACCAGTCATTGCTGGTGTTCGCTCAACGCTACCGTAACGATATCACCGAGGACCAACGAGAGGCTCTCCTTGACTTGCTCTTGGTTCAAGGGCACAAAGACATTGGACCCGAGGTTAGGCGCGAATTGCTCGCCGGTAGAGGAAGAGGGGTTGTTTTACCTGATTCTGAACGGCAAGGTGCAGTCGATGCCGGTGATGATACGATGGATGTCACATTATAGTCTAATCGCCACGAAGTCATGTGTCGGGAATGGCTCATCCCCTTGCATTTAGCTGTGACATGATCAGGGTCGTGACTGGCATTGGCGTTATTTGGGACAGTCGAATTTGCGCATATTTCTATTCTTCTTTTTTGTTTGCTCCCGGCTCTTAGAGATATGAACTTTTCCGATATTCACGAAATCATATTCAGTTTTTAAATTAATCAAGGTGACAAAGCTACATACACACACATTGTAAATAAAGTAGTCATTTCAGTAGACATACATCAATGTGAAGAACCATATGAATGTTGCAAACTCAATACACGACCAGAGCAATCTTAGTGGCCAGAGATCGATTCTACTAATCTTGCATGAGTACCCAGCCTGCTGTTTTTCTGCATTGTCTACTGTGGTGTAGCTACTTAACATCCGGAGTGGAAGTGCGGTGATACGGCATTCGGGATGACGTTGCCACGCTAAGTCGCCGCCGCGCCGCTATCGTTGCCCCTTCTGAGAAAGTAGCCTAATCCGTCCTCCTAAAGCGTCGGTCATTTTGGCTTTGTTTCCTCTCAATACTTCGAAGTGTCAATTTTTGGTGTTAGCCTACTCACTGCCCAACATGGTTCGAAAGGACCCGATCTTTGAGGCTCGTACCAATGTCAAGGTGTGTGTGTGTTCTCTGTCCCGCAGCAGTGATAGCATTGCTATCTCGCTGCGACCAACCGCATTTTATGCTGAAGCTTCCACCTTAACTCACGCAATATTCTTGTTACAATTTGTAGCTGCACTCCAATCGCTTGAAAAAAGAGTCTGCCCGTGCCGAAGCGACGTTCAAATCTGAGAAGGCGAAGGCCGACAAGGCAATGAAAAATAGAGAGTTTCAAATCGCTCGCATTCATGCCGCATCTGCTGTACGTGAGAAGAGAAGGCAAGTGACTCTCCGAGCCGAGGCTGCTCGCGCAGATGTCATCATCAACGAACTCAAGGCAGCACAAAGTACGCGAGATACCTCCCGGACTCTTGCCTTAGCTTCAAGGGGGCTGGATGCGGCTTCGAAAAGTGTCAACCTAGAGAATCTGGTCTCACACGCAAACAATTTTCTGGCTCGCTCCGAGGATTTCAAAATAGCAAGCAGTGCCATAGAGGATGTCGCCCAGGGTGTTTCGATGCAGGAATACGGTGCGGAGGGTGAGGCCGATGTTGATCGCTTGATGGAACAACTTGCAGACGATGCCGGCGTAGATCTGCGCATAGCATTAGAGCAGGATGCTGCTCCTCGTGAGGAAGTCAGGGATCAGAAGCAAGTTGACTCGGAGCTGGAGGATGGTCTGGGGGCTAGACTAAGAGCTCTACGGGCAGCAAATTAGATGTGACTCTGTATGGTCTATACTCCGTTTGTTTTGTTTTGTTCTTGTATCTTGAATTTTGAGCAATATGTGTTGACGCGAACACGGTGGAGGCAAGTGGCATTTTCATTATTACTTGTCAGGCTTGTTGTTCAGATTGCTGCTTTGGGTGTTAACCGGCTGCTTCTTATTTCATCTTCATCAAGCGATATCCTAAAGGGCTTCGACACAGAGCATATGGCACGATGACCTGTCATATATCGATCAACAACTAGGCCATACAATCTAATTCATGGCCGAGCCATGTTTACTTGCTGATTCATTTCGATTCTCCTCATTAGCATTAAATAGGTTTAATGCTTGGGACCTCCTCTGGTGGTATACACTTACATTCCAGGATATCTTCAGGGGTTTGATCGATCGCAGATTCGCTTCATTACCCAAACAAGTGGTCTAGCATAAATGACTTCCGTTTACCCGAGCTAACGAACCGACTACTAACATGACCTGCCTGCAAAATGCTCGTGGTTATTGTGGCTTGCAACAATTTATGAAATTATCTTGACAAAGTTTGAGGCATGACGTAGCCGGGCTAGCTCAATCGGCAGAGCGTGAGACTCTTAATCTCAAGGTTGCGGGTTCAACCCCCGCGTTCGGCTTCCATTATCATCCATTTGTTTTTTCCGATCTCCGTGGCTGAGCTGTTGACTATATCTAGCACTCACTTTTTGTACATCCCCCCTCCCTAACGCATGCTTCTCCTACAGATTGCAACCCACGCTCGAGGTGAGACCTGTGAATAACCCAGAGCAGTGTGCAAATACAACATCGCTGTTACTATCGCCCTGCCTGTTGGCATCCCTCAGATCGGGGAGGAATGCCGCATCCCTTCATGAGCGTCCATACTGCCTGATGGTGACACCCGCAGATCACACACATATATATCTGCTTCCCAACGTACCCCCTTCCGGGACATCGCAATGGATAATCTATCACTCCCTCTTGATACACACCCGATGTCGCATTCTCGACAGGCGGCCTGCTTGAACTGTAGGAAAAGCAAAGTTCGATGCAATCGAACCAAGGACGAAACATCCTGTGATCGATGCAGGCAAGCCGATGCGACATGTGTGATTCCGAGTCACCATGTAGGTCGACAGAAGGGTGTCAAAAAGTGCGCCCCGTATACATCTACATGACTTGCAATGACAACAAGTACTGACACAC